CCATCCAGCCTTCATCAGTGTCACAATTTCACAGTACAACGGCTTTTTTTAACATTACACCCAGGTGAAACCTCTTGGGTTATTTAGCCTGCACCTGGCTGAGTAATCATGGATGAAACAAGTGGAGCTCTTAGAATACTCAGAGGTGTCTTAGAGGTTTCACCCATGTATCTTCTTGCAGAATAAAGTGATTTCTTGTTATTGAGTGTGATCCTAATGTACAATTATTGGACAACACTACTGGGACAATACATCGGTTTTTCCTGAGTGTGGTGGAATATATGAAGAATACTCTTCTCATTCAAAATGAAATATATTAACTGACTGAAAAAAAGAAACAAAGTTCCTATGGCAAAAAGTTTATTTGTTCTGTGTACTCATCAGATAGTGCAAGTACTTCTTTTTGCTCATCTTCTACTATTTGCCATGGTTTCCTGATCAAAAGTATGGATTCGCTTTTTGATGTGGCTTAATTTGGCTTTCAAATACTCGCAGCGTTGAGTTTTTTCTAGGAAAGTAGGGTCCTGTAAAACACACACATACAAAACAATGTACTGATTAATGTGAGCAGCCTCTGTTAACTAAATATTACTTTACTTTTTTCTCTTTTACTCTGCTAGATGTCATTCTTGATTCATTCTGTAATGTGGCTACATTAAATGGAAATTTCCAGAGTTGCTCACATTACATAATGGAAGCAGTATTATTTGCACCAGTGGACATCTTTACTGAAAACAAAACAATTATTATCTGGGTGCTTCATACAACAGCAGCATTTCTAGTATATTGCTGGGTTAAATATCAGAATTGCTAAATGATTTTTAAATTTCTTTCAGGCATAGATGTAAAAAATAGAAATGCACTATCATTTTTTTATGACAAACTTCATCACTTACACTTTTTTTCTGCTGATAGTTCTTCAAAATGGTTTGAATTCTCTGTTGATCCTAAAGAAAAAGCATATTGAAATGGTCTGGAGAGAATATAACATTAAACATACATACATCATAACTGCATCACCCATATTATTTGTCTGTACAGTCTGGAGGCCAGATCACAACCTTATTAAATTCCTGGAAGCATGGTTACAAAAATTGTTTATATGTTATACTGTATAAAGTTGATTATAAATCCGTTTTACCTTCTGGGTTTTTCCATCTTTGAGGAGTTGCACAATCATGATATCCAACTCTCTGAACTTGTTGAGCATGGTGTTGACGTCTTTGTGGAGGTCCTTGTATTCCTGATACTGGTCATTGAAAACAGCTTTGTACTGTTCCCGTTCTTCCACGCAGCTGATCTCTGGATACTTCCTGTTGAGAAACATGCATGACAACAAACTCATTCTCAAATTAACTTTGTTTCTGTAAAACATGACATGGAGTCAAGTACATATATACTGCTCAAAAAAATAAAGGGAACACAACATAAGACATCTTAGATCTGAATTAATGAAATATTCTTATTAAATACCTTGTTCATTACATAGTTGAATGTCTTATTTTCCCTTGTGTTCCCTTTATTTTTTGAGCAGTGTATATTATATGTGATTATTATAGATAAAGTTTAGGTTATGCAGCTTCTCAACAGTTGAAATATTCACTTACATGATGTAGTCTGCAATAATGTGTACTTTGGGGGTGTGTTCAGGCCCGTTGTCTTTCTTCAGACAGACTGACTTCTCAGGGACAAGTGTATGTGAAGTAACATAATCCTTACTCAGAGATTTGTCCATTTCATCTTTGAATGATATGTGTTTGGGTTTTTTGTGTGTTTGTGAGATAGATGTCTGAAACTCCTCCTGGGGCTACAGATAAAAAAAAAATCACAGGCTTAATATTGAGACAATATGAACCAACAATTGAAATCGAATGATGTCTGTCATCATTACAAGAGGCTAGGGGCAAAATTTAGATTAAGCTAGATGTCAGAGAAGTTAAAAACAAAAAACAAAAGAGAAGAGCCAGAGGGGAAGAAATGGCCCCAGTTGACAAGTTAAACTTTTGGACTGTAACCCTTTCTTATTTGACATCAAATATGACCAAGTAGTTTCTCTGCCACAGGTAGTGACTGTGATTTGTGATAACATGGACTCTGTTTGCAAATAAGCTCAGTAGCTGTTTAGCTATTGAAGGGAACAATACTTTGAACAATACCATGTTTGTTGAATGTGCTCAACTCAAACAGTTTGAAGCCGATATTTGAGCCATATTTGTGGATGTATACTTGGTAGAAATTATCTTAAAATGAAAAAAATAACCCAAAGCCACGTTTTTACACTGGCAGACGTCACTTCCTGTCAGCAGCTGACACAACAATAGACGTCTACATTTTAATATACTGTATATTTTGTAAAATACTGCCAATTAAACTGGTTCAGATGTTATGTTAGCTACTTGTTTTTAGCCACATGGTCCTAGGGATGGCAATGTCACTTAGTTCACCACTTTGTTATAATAAAATAATTTAACAACATGCTAACATGCTAATCTAAACAAGGAAATCTAGCAAACAAAATTCCCTGCTCAACACTGTTATGAATCATTACCATTGTGAGAACATGTAAGGCCAGTGATATTAGCATGCAGACAATACTACCACACCTTTCCAGTGCTACTGTATGTTCTGGTGATATTGGCTACTGTAAGACCTATGGACAAAACTACTGAAATTATTTTAAAAAGCATTACATGTGAGAACAAGAAGAACAGAACAGTCTTCCTCACCTTTAACTTATCATTGCTGCATTTCTACAAAGAGGACTACATGATCAATAAAGTCAAGAAAAACACAATTTACAGCTTGAATTGTGGTTGATTTAAAGAACCTCTTGTCTCATACCTAAAGGTAAGCAGAAGAGAATAAAAAAGACTGCAGCACACTTTAGAGAGGAACTCCTCACTTTTCTATAGGCCTTATACAGTATGGTGAATGTAACCAATGTTCTATACTGTTTTCAAGAGGAGCCCTTGTGTTTCCTGCTTGTCTTTCATCTAAACATTTTCAAAATATGAGCTCTACCTTGTTCTCAGAGTACTCCCTCTCCCTACGTGCAGCTTCATGCTTCCACATCTTCAGACATACCAGGAAGCTTCCTAGATACATTGCCATGTTGATGAAGATGAAAGCTGTTCCTGCCATCTGGCCCCCATCAACCCGACACAGATTGGCCACGATGGGGTTAACACCTATTGTCATGTAGCACAGCCCTCCTCTGTTCAAGTCGTTCAGGTATACAATCCCTACTGCCATGTAGAGCAGGAACAGCGCTACATTAATGAAGGCCTCTGTCAGAGGCCACCAGGAGGAGTTGAGGAGGATGGTGCGATAATACATAGTTATTCCCATCACCAAGAGACACAGGGTAATGATCCAGGATACTCCAGCTACAGCCAGAATGAAAGGAGTCATTGGACCTCTGTAGCTGTACCCAGATTGGCCAAGCCCATTGTTGTATATGCCATTATTGAGTCCGTAGGTGTAGGACCACTCACTGTCTTTCTGGATGTAGGCGATGACACAAGCAAAGACCATGCCCCCAAACAACAGTTCAAGTCCTGCAAGAAGTCTAAGCAGGCCTGGCCAGGACTTCAAATAGGAGTACTTCTGGGTATAGACCTCCAGCTTCTCAGCATAGTACTCTGCAGGATGGATAGAAGTGAGTATAGATTCCTCCTGTGGGCCTCGATCAAAGTCCTCATCAGTGGGGCTGTCTCTTAACAAAGGCTTGTGGGAGTTCTGGCTGAAGTTACCCAGTGATTCTTCCCAGTTCTTCCTCTCCAGCAGGGGACTTACAGGAGGGCTCACCCTGGTCCCATTGGGAAGGATCTGGATCCTAGTTGTGCTGGGTTCAGAGTTAGAACTGTCAACTTCCCATGTCCACCTTTGGATGGTGCCACCCCATGACTGAGGAATGAGGGATTTCAGCTTGTCCTTCATGCTCCTTTTTTTATCATTATTCTTTTCTGCATAAGGTTGAGTGCTGGATGTGCGGCCTGTAGAGTTTTCATCACCATCCGTGATATTATCTGGTGTGGGTGTGTGAGTAATCCACACAGGCACTGGTGGATCACTAATGGAGTTCCTCTTACTAGAGGAGGCCCCCACCACACTGTCGGGCACTTGTCTCTGGAGTTTCCTGCTCCAGCTCTTCATGCTGTTAGCTGAGTTTGGTAATTCATTGAGAAAGAAATAATCACACAATCCTTATGAGACTTGGAGAGCGAGACAAACTGCACTCAAAAAAAGATTATTAGTTTTTCAAAAAAAAAAAGCATGCAAACATTTAAACAAGATTCCAATGTTTTGCATCTGATTCAGATTAAAACAACTCTGTGCAACAGTCATATTTATGAACTTGAATTGTATTGTATTGACAACGAACTGTGATTTTACTTTATTCTATAAGATAAAGAGAATTTGAAAACTACCTTAAAGTGTGTTGTAGTTTCTTTTCTTTATAAACGTCACATTTTTACTAGCTTATTTTTGTAATGCATTGTCTATAGGTTTTCAATGTCCTTTTTCTACCTTCTCAGGCAGCCAGTGTCACCCTTTAATTTCTAAATAGTTCAATTAGCACACTTAAATTTGCATTAATTTTTTGGCCACTAGGAGGCAAAACATGTTCTCAACACAAAATAATCTAAGTAATCTAAGTAATCTAAGTAATAATCACCTTATCTGCACAGGTGACCCAAATTCAGTTTTTTGTCCCTTCAAGTGACTTTGATCTTTTTACAGATACGTATGTGAACAAACCAAATCAGATTTTTTCAAATCTGATCTAGGCCATTTCCACAGATATGATTTATATCTGATCTCTGACTATACAACTGCTGTCAGAGCGATCAGATCAGAATTTACAGTTTATTTTTACTTTACACTCCTTTGTGCATATTGCCTGTTGTCATCATTCAGTGGTGGCACCTCACAAACCAGTAAACATGGACAAGAGCATAAACAGCAACAGGGGTCAGTGGAATAATAATGGCATTTGTTGGACATATATGGAGAAGCTTCTGTTCAAATAAAACTGGAAGGAACATAACCCAGCAGTTTTTGAGGGAACTGCATGATTTTTCCATCTCATAAATTACATTGTTATTCTTGCATGCAGACAGCTTATGTGCGGCAATTTAGGATCGCCACAGTGTTCACACTGGTGTGGGATACATGTCACGTCAACTCTTTTCACTTACAAGTAGTAATTTGATCCACTGTATATTGTTTATGGCAGCTGTAAACTTAATAAATATAGTTAATCTACAGCAATACTTTGTTATTCTTACATTATTATTACAGGGTAATGCTGTTTAGAAAAGCTAGATTTAATCGGCCACAAGTATAAAGTGACTAACACAAAAAAAGCAGACTTTATGTTCACAAAAATAAAAATTTCTAAAACAAATTCCAAAAATGGTTATCTACATAACAGTGACAAACCACTGGAATGGTCCCTGAGACACACTGATCACTTTTTGTGGAACAGCATCAGAAACATGCACTAAAATTCAACAAGTCACACCATGACCACAGTGCATTCAGGCTCTAATAACAGGAGTTTAAGCTGAGCTGTGAGTTATAGCAAACTGGACAAGCAACAGTCATAAATCTGTCGCAACATATCAAAGTGAAAACACATTAATGGCACAGAGGGTATTGTTTTAAAAAGAATAAAACATCTCTATGTGTTACTTACCTGTTTGACCCCAGATTGTCTCTTAGATCAGGCAGGTGTTAATTCCTCACAGAACTCTGGCTGTTTTTAAAGGACCGGGAACTTATACCCACTGTAAAATGGTCACTGTGTCCACTTGGCCTGCTCGGCTCACCCACTACAGTCTCTCAGGTGACTCACTCTCACTGCTAAGTGCACAAGCAGTGGATTTGGCTAATGTGTGTGGAGAACTCAGAGGGGCGAGTTTAAACATTAAACCTGAAACGCCCCGTGCTGGTGCTGACTGGCACCGCTAGGTTAATCTGTGGGAAAGAGAGAGTGCTGAAACTGTTGGCAGTGATAAAACAGAGGAGGTGGTGAGCTACACTGAGATGATGCATGTAGGCTGCTTAGAGTTCAGATGATTTGCTCTTTTTGAAAAACTGGATAATCCACTCATTAATATCCTTCAGGGATTCTTGTGTACACATACATACCTGGCATTGTCTAGTAGTACTTAAGGCATCACACATATTATATTAAACTCAAAAACAGTAGCTTGCCTGGGAGATTACACTTATTTTTACAGACAAGCATGTGTTTGATATCAGCCTGAAGTTATCAATTACATCTCACATCTAAAAACTGTGAAATATTGCTTTATCATCCTATCATTTATGAATAATTCATTCTCATCTCAGCTGTGTCTTGTTGCGTTGTTGTCACAGGAGGAGATGGAGATGGAGTGTTTGGCACTAGAGGGCAGCAAGCTCTCGGTCTTCTCACTGACAGTTCAGGTCTCTCACTGAGTTTACTTTCTCTCATTTTCTCCTTTGCTATCTGTTGTTTTCATACCCGGCCTGCCCCAGTGAATATCAAATAAAATCTGGGTTGTAGTATTGGCCATGTTTCTTCAGTCACGTGAAAAGAAAAACTCCGGGAATCATTCCTGATGTCAGTTTGTGCCTGTGATTCTTCCAGAGCAGGGCTGATTTTCATGTAGTGAAGGCTCAGGGCAAGGACATCTGTAGTGATCGCCACCTCCACCCCCACCCTCACCCCACCACACACATACACTGCAGTATTCATAGCCAACAGAGTACAGTAAACACTTAATGTATCCAACTCTTTCAAGTGAGTAGTGAGGCCCACCAGTGGCCTTGGCCTGGAGCTACCTCAACCGCTGCTGCCTTGCACGTCCCCTACTGCCAGCACAGGTGCCTACTCAGCTACAGATACTTTGTGGAACAATACAAAATCACGTAGAGGGAGGGCATGGAGTCTCCCAAGTAAAATAATTACTTAAAGGAGCATATATACAGGTCTCGCTGTCCTGTGTCATACATACTTTATTAAATAATACTTATGTTCCATAAAGACTCACAGCTCTGTTGCCTGCTCCATAAAAAAAAACAATTACTTAATTCAATAATAATAATAATAAT